TGGCTAGAAATTCACATAATTTACTTTCAATAATTATCTAATATGTTACTGAAGTTTATGTATTTATATATTTATTAATAGCCTTACGTTTTTGACAAAATAACTCTCACAAAAAAGAGTAAACTTTAAAAAATTAAAAAAGTAATATGTAAAAAACTACTAACAAGAAAAATACTTAATTGAAGTATGACCCACAGTAAAAAAAATAAAATAAAATAGAAATGTTTAGTGTAATAGGAATTAAAAAATGTAAACGTTACTTTAAATTTGAATGTTGAAAATAATGAAAATTAAAAAAAAAAAAAATTCTTGTAAAAATTCATTCTTCATCGAAAAAAAATTCTTAAGACAATAATGTCCTTAATAAATCTTATTTATGAGAGCAATTAAAAGCTTTTCTAATTAAATAATGTCATATTTTATTGCATTTTTTATTTTCCCATTGAGAGCAGACTTTCGGTACCTGTGGATCCTGTTTGAAAAGAAAAAAAATGATTTAATTTTTCCAATATGTCCTGCATTTAACTAATAAAACAAAATTTTGACATTGTAATTTAATTTCTCGAAATTTCATGAAATTAAGTAAGTAAGGTGGTGGTGAGTACAACATATACATTTTAAACCAGGATTTTCTAAAACGAAAAAAATTAGTTTTTTTTCCTTTGTGAAGAAGTCATGAAACGGACAAAAACACTAATCGTAATCATTAAGTTAACCTATTATGTAAAAAAATAACTAGATTTTTAACCAAAATTTCGAACGTGCATTAAAATTTAATAAAATAATAACAAATACTTTGGGTTTCTCTTTTCATAATAATATAAGCATTTTAACTATAAATCTAAGTTTTTACAAAGTTTTTTTATAGCGATTAAGTGGGGGTATCTTATTTAAGGTTTTACTCAGAATAAAATGAGAAAAAATAAACCAAATTGTACAACCTTTACTTATACTGAATATATGTATAAACATCTAAGAACTTGCAATTAACTGACCCCATGTGGCCAAGTTATCCGATTAATCCCCCGAATAGTCACATTGATTCTGTGAGTTTTGAATCACTTTTTCCAAAATACGCGGAATGTGTCACATGTGTCAGAATAGATAGAAATACTTTCCGATTAAGCTGGATTTGAAATCCGTCACAGCTGGATGTGGTTTTATGACCATCAAAACATAAACAATCACAAAACAGAATTTACAGCACATGACCTAACGTAACGTTATACCTTGTCAGGTTGAAGGTAGCTGAAGACTGTCCGAACGCTAGCTTAGTTGAATCAACTCTAATGATGACAAAAGTTTTAGAAATCTTGTACAGCGGAATGAAATATAAAACTACCTCTTCCTGCAATATAGTCATTATATTAGTGGATGAATAGAAAGAAAAAAAAAAGAAACATATTATTTGTTATATTCCCCGAACTTGAATTAGTCCTATTTTCTTGAGAGACATGAATTCATACAATACAACTATGCTTCAGGGACAACGAACAGAAATAGTTTTTGTTTTAAAACATTATTAAATTGGTTGGTCCCAGGATATAGGAGATTGTTTTGTATCTAGCCGGGCCTTTCTAAAGCAAGTGACTTTATTGTTGGTATCCATCTTCTATCCAAGTAATGTAAAAGAAGTAATATTGATTATTTCGTACTAGTACCAAACAGGAACACTGAATGTGATTGAATTCCTTTACATTAGCCATTATGTCATACCGGAAACAGCCCTTTTACTCTGTCTCGTGTATATATATATATATATATATATATATATATATATATATATATATATATATATATATATATTTTTGAAACAGTACAAAAAGCGTATTAAGGTATTAAAACAAAGAAATCCTTTTTATATTGTAGGCCATGATAGATTTAAAACAAAACACACACCAGTCGACCGATTTCGTCCCCTCTAATCAGAACTGTTAACGGGAAATAAAATTATGAGGAAAAAAAAAAAGTCTGTCATGGATGACATGAATGAGTGGTTGGGGAAAAAAAACATTATAAAAATTATACCAACCAAAGATGCTAGAAGCGCAGCACAGCAAGTCCAACAAAACAATCTCTTTGTTTACAAAGAGCAGGTTGCCTGGACCTGATAATTTAAGATGGAATAAAGTGTGAACTGGCCAAAACGGAAAACCAGTTCACACTGAAATCCATCGCACAAGTGGGATTCTTTATATTGCGCTTCTAGCATCTTGGTAGAATGATATTTTTTCTTTTTCTTTTCCTCATAATTTTAGTTCCCCGTTAACAGTTCTGATGAGAGGGGACGAAACCGGTCGACTGGTGTGTGTTTTGTTTTAAATCTATCATGGCCTACAATATAAAATTTCTTGTTTTTAATGCCTATATATATATATATATATATATATATATATATATATATATAATCTGTATCACTCCAAGTAAGGCGGTATAGCCACTAACTCGCACGGGGATATAGGATGTTGAAGAATTAGGAACAGAAAAGTTAGTAAAGAGTAGAACGAGAAAAGAGTGATCAGGAGGACAGAAGATAGCGATTGCAAATGGATTTAAATTTTTTACAAATTAAAATTGGCTGGAATTCATGGAACCAGAAGAGAATTTCATAAGCGAGAAAAGAAAATGTTAACATAGGCTTTACGGTTACATCTAGCCAGCTCAACTATAAATTGATGAGATCTCGCCGCCAGTCTAATATTGCGCTTAAATTCATACAGTCTATGTACCATACCGAAGAGCTCATTTGAACAATTACCATGAAGGTATTTGTTAAAAAATGCACAAAGATGCAAGCTTACGGCGGTGGGCAAGTGACTAAATATTGTTGATTCTTTTCTGGATCCTATGGAGGAGTTCCAGGTAAATAGCAGGGACAGCCAACCATATACGCCAGCAATATTCGGTAAATTTTGGTTTTGTTACCTGTGCGCTAATATCCTTTAAGATTTTTCCAAAATCGTCATAATTCCGTGCAAATGTACATGCTGAACTCGAATTAACAATTAAATTATGAAGAAACCTAGCGTTTTGGAGTTATCGACAAGAAAAAAATCGGACTTCTTGTTGGTCATTCGTCCCCCTTTACTGCCATCATGAATCTCGATTCAATGCGGGATACCTACGCCGGCGTAATAAGAAAATTTGGCCTATTTACTTCTTTTAAAGACTCTCCTTGCAGAAAATCACTACGCACGGGTAACAAATCCAATATTTACCCAATATTCTAAGCATGGACGAATGGTAGACTTATAGATGTGCAAGATAGTTTACGGAGAGAAAAATTATCTCCCTAGACACAGTGAACTGGCGTTCTTATATGAAGGCTGCTTAAAAAAGCTCAGTCCGACCAAAAAAGAGATTCCAATTATACATTCTGATCTTAGGTCTTTGGATAAGATTTTGGGAAATAAACTGAAAATTTACAGCCCCATCATATATCTTGTGAATTGTAACTTGATCTTAGAATTTTGGAGTAGCGTGTTCAAAAAAATCAGATGTGTTTTAATCGAATATGTGTGACCATGGCTCTCCACAATTTCCTGTACTTTGTAGCTCTTAGTAAAGTTTGTCTTTTTGCCATCTCTTCTAATGCATCATCTACCGATTATTTCCACATGCACGTTATTTAGGTCATCCCCCGTTTTAATCTGTACCTCATGCATTCAATATGTCCTTTGAGTGTCACATTTTCTAAGCCTTCTTTACTGTTTATGTGTCCTAGAAATGTCATATATCTCTACCTAACGCTAGGTATAAGTGCTCTTATGTTTCTTCCATTGGGTCTTTGTCTTTTGCACTTTTGAAAGCTTTGCTGTTTCTCACATGTTTAGTCCATGTCATTCTCAGCATCTTCCCGTAGAACCAGATTTCTGATACATCATGTCTTTTCTTAATCTGTGATGAGATTGTCGATATATAAGATTACATATTTATCTGGCAGGTAACTTGACGCCCCCTTCTTTGCAAAGAAATGTATTTGTTTTCTGTTAAGAGGAGACATTACTCGAGACCAAGAGAGGAACATCTAATTAATAATTAGAGCAGAACACGCGGCAAAAACATTGCATATTTCTTTCATTTGTTCTAATCTTATTGGATATTTTTATTCTAACTTTTTTATAAGTGGTATAGTTTTGTATAGTATGACTAGGATTTATTGCATAAATTAAGAGCCCAGATTGCACCTTAAGTATATACACAAAGGTTGCGATGGGTAAATTGTTACCATTTTGTCCACTGTCCAGTATAGTAGGGTCAATTGTGCACCCTCTGTGAATAAAAGAGCACCATGACGCAATTCACTCGGCCAGAAATTTGGAAACGGCATGCTGTACTGCTTTGCATTCGGGCTGGAAGCACCAATATGAACATTTCAGAGTGTTTCAGTGTCAATCTGAGGACAGTGCAAAGGATGCAGTTTCCACAAAAGACTTATTGAGAGTGATGAAACCTAAATATCAGGTCAACATCATGGTGCTTGGAGTGATCAAATCCGATGGCGACGTTATGCATCCATTCATCTTCCCAGAAGGTCTCAGACTAAATACGGATGCCTACATAAATTTCCTTGTGGAAATAGTTCTGCCCTGAGAAAAGAGTGTGGCTGCTGGAAGAAACTATGTCTGACAGCTGGATTCTGTACCATGCCATACAAGTAGGAGATCGCAGCCATGGCTGTCAGACAATTTCTGCAACCACATCACGTCTTACCACCTAACTCCCCAGTCTGTAACTCCCTTGGTTATTATGTATAGGGCACAATTATGCGAGAGACCAACAAAACTCCGTGTAACACCAAAGATGAACTAAAAGCAATGATTATGGCATCATTCCCCAACTTAAACAAAGAGATCGCCCAGAAGAGTTGCAAGAGATTCTGAAGACGTCTAGAGGGCGTGGTTGAAGCCATTGGCAATTTTATTGAATCAATTTACTCTTTAATATAATGTGGTGTAGTAACACAAATTTAACAGTTACTGTAAGTTTCACCAGATTTC